AAGGTATTTTAAGAGAGATTATGTTTATCCAAAAATAAAACATCTTATCACTTACCTTTATTTTGTTTCTTATCCATATAACTTACAAAAGGAGATGTGCCGTTCAGTTACTTTTTCATGTAGATAATTAAATGGTGAATGAGAGAGTCATCTCATTTTGTGTGCCTCATATATTTACTTGTATATAATAATACTTGTAATTACATAATATGATTTTCAAAGCTGAAGTGATTACCTTTAGCCTATTTATTTGTTAGAATATGTATAACTCAATATTTTAACTAATTGCAAAAGTTGAATAATCAAAGTCTACTGGTTAATCACTGAACTAATCGACGATTACTTAGTCGATTAATCACTCTAATGATCGCTAGATTAATCGATTATCAAAATAATCGTTTGTTGCAGCCCTAGTTACTAGGGTGTTCTGTGAGGTTGCTAAACAGGGTTTTTAAACTCCCTCGTCTGTCATTGGTCAGTCAGACGGCTCGTCTCGTCCTGAACCGTTCGTGTGTCACACAGATCAGTGTGTTTGAGTGTTGCTATTTGTTAGTGAATCTTCAGTGACTGGTTGATGATCACAGATAAACACAGCAGTGTTGCATTAGCTGGCATGTTGTGTACGAGAACACGCTCTGAACTGCAGTCTGAATGTCAGCCGTGTGTCCGTCATTCCTGCTGTGATCCTGGAGTTCTTGTGCGTTCAAAAATACAGCGTAAACATCCTGCTAAATATAAACTCCTGTATGTTTCTGTGCTCGGATTCCCACATTAACACACTGCTCATTCCAGTCAAGAAGCAGTCTAGTGCAGTTGCAAATGTCTCAAAATATATCCGCGTGTGTCGTTTCAGTGTAACTGGCCATGACGACAGATCCAGGCTCAGAATCAGAGCAGCTGCACACAGAATCCAAACAGACCAGGGCTCTGCATTTGCGACTGAAAACTACTGCGTGCGACTATGAAATAAGATTTAGGAGCACCTGTGCGACTGTCCCGATCAGCATATTCTCCAGGTGTGCTTCAAAGGTTCTAACGTACTTACGTGTTTCTGCAGCGTTGAGTAATGTATCACAGACCTATCCTCTAGTCTCATTATAACAAAGTGTTGACAAGGTGTAAATAAGATATTCATTGTGCAGTGTAGGGAGCTTCGTCGATTATAATGGAGTTTTGTGAGATCGCGATGAACTAAGATGAGTGACAGCTTTTAATGATTATTAAGGGAGTTTGCAAATGTGATATTGATTTAATACAACTGTTCATTAAACAAGAAGTTAATATTAAGTGACTTACATTGTCTGACAACAACACAATTGCCTTATTTTGCTCTATTTTGTCAACGAAAATAGTTTGAAACAAAGTAACAGCTGAGCCGCTGCGCATCTCCATTCAAACACAGCGGTGATTCGTTTATGAATGAACTGCGTTTTTAAACGAATCTAGTGAGTCAATGATTCAATTACCCATTCATAAAGACAGTCACATACTTCGTTCCTGAATGAATCAGCCGTTCGAACGAATCAATTGAATGAATGATTCAGTGATAAAATCAGTGACTTGTTGCCACCTGCTGGCAGTTTTAGTTTCATTTTAAAGTATCTTTTCTGTTATTTAAATCATTTAATATTTCTGTATTCAAAATGTTATATTTAAAACATTAACCTCAACATGAATTTATGAATTTAATTGCACTCATGCGACCTCTGAGCCTCATTAAACGTCTGAAAATACACCTACAAGTTCTTCTGTGCCAACTCTGTAGCACAAATTTATTTCTTAAATACTGATTTCATTTGATTGATAACTTATTCTTATTCTACTTCTTATCCTACTTGGTTTTTATTCTGTTGTTTTAATTAGAAATGTTAAAAAGCTTATATATTTTTTTGAATTTGACATAAAAGATGACATGCTTTTAATAAAGTTAGATAAATGCCATTACAAAGGTAAAAACAAAATTCCCTGTAAATCACTGAGTCAAATATCACCTCGTAATGGGAAGGTTAATTTTTTTATCAGAATTTTTGATTACTGATTAGAAGGTGCTCCTAAATGTTGGGGAAAGTTACTTTTGGAAAGTAATGCATTATGTTACTTTTGAGTTACTTTTTAAATCTGGGCAGGGCTTGCTTGTTTGTTTTTAATATTAAAAATTTCTTCTTTTACAAATGTAAAAGCACTTTCACACCAAAAGTGAAATGCATACGCCTCAGGCTTAAGGAAATGAAAATTCACGTCTGTACAGTAGAGGGCGCAGCTGTCAGTCAATACATGGGAAACAAAGTAACTGGAGTTACTTATTTGAAAAACTTAAATATTTCCTTCTAAATTAAAAAGTAATGCATTACTAGTTAAAGTAATCTGATTACGTAACTCATGTTCCCTTTCAGCCGGTCACTCTCGACGTCACGTCGGTGACCGATGAATTGGGAATCTCGCCAGAGAGACCAATCTACTTCGAGTGTAAACTAAACAAGCCAATGCACATTGGCATGCGATTATTGCATCCAGCTGCCGCTGATCACAGCGTGAGTATAAGTAGGCAGCCGGTGCAGCGCATAATCAGCTTTTCGCTTCGGAGCCGAGCAGTGTTATCGTTCTGCTCCTGCCAAGCTTCGTGTGTTGACGAGTCAGCGCTCTCAAAGGAGCTTCTCTGTGCGGGTGTCACGGCACGACAGCGGGTTGGTCGACCTTCGTTGAGTGGGTGCAAACTACAGGCTGCACTACCCCCTGTAGTGTTGCGGCGGCCATCTCCCCTGTGTGCTTCAGCACAACTAAAAGCAATCCTAAAAGAGCATTCACGGGTGAACGTCTTTTTAGAGGCGCGTCTTTTTAAAGATACCATTTCACCCGTGCGTTTCTGGATGCGGTCGTTACCTAGCGCCGGGTGATGGTCACGATCGCTGCGTCACGTGCCTGGGCATTAAGCACGCTGAAGTAGCATTCGTGGATGGGTCATTGCGGGAAGATGACCATCTCGGAGTTGCGGAACAGGCTCCACTACCTCGAAAGGGGTGGAGTTCCATTGCCTCTGCCGCGATCTAGTTCTCTTCCTGGCAGAAGTCAGGGGAGGACTACTTCTGGCAGTAGCTCGGGCGGTTTGAGTATCACAGTGGTGGCAACCCCTGTGAGGAAACAACCTCCCAGGGACCGCCAATCCTCTAGCACTTCGCAGCCAGTCGAGCCCCCTCAGGAACATGCTGGGCCCTCTACAAAGAGCGTACCAGCCGTATCCTTTGGGGCTCCTCCTGATGATCGGATGACGATCACTGCATCGGAGGGCAAGCCGGAGCTCTTTGGAGAGGAAGATTCGGCTGCGCTGCTGCCCTCCGAAATGGTAGCAAGGCCTGAATCGGATCCAGAGATGACGGCTATGCTTTCCCGGGCCGCCGAGAGGGTAGGGCTCGAGTGGAAACCTCCACCACGTCCCGAGCCCACGAGGTTGGATGATTGGTTTCTCGGGGTGGCCCGCGCTAGGGCTGCACGATTAATCGAATGCGATTGTCATGCGCATTTTGTTAAAAAAGCCGGTTCTGTAATAGGCAGGAAATCATCATCACGTGCTTTCAGATGGAGCAGCATTTACTACACATAGCCGTAGTTCACTGACAAGTTACGCAAAAAAATCGCAGATGATTTTATTGCACGATTCTGAAATTGAAGAAATCGTAATAAAAACCTCCATAGAAAGAAAGAAAGAAGACTCCTCTTGCACTTCGCAGCCAGCCGAACTCCCTAAGGAACGCGCTGGGCCCTCCAAAGAGCATACCAGCCGTATCCTTTGGGGCTCCTCCCGACGATCGGATGTCGATCGCTGCATCGGAGGGCGAGCCTGAGTTCTCTGGAGAGGAAGATTCGGCTACGCTGCCGCCCTCCGGGATTGTAGCAAAGCCCGAGTCGGATCCAGAGATGATGGCTATGCTTTCCCGGGCCGCCGAGAGGGTAGGGCTCGAGTGGAAACCCCCACCGCGTCCCGAGCCCACGAGGTTGGATGATTGGTTTCTCGGGGTGGCCCGCGCTAGGGCTGCACGATTAATCGAATGCGATTGTCATGCGCATTTTGTTAAAAAAGCCGGTTCTGTAATAGGCAGGAAATCATCATCACGTGCTTTCAGATGGAGCAGCATTTACTACACATAGCCGTAGTTCACTGACAAGTTACGCAAAAAAATCGCAGATGATTTTATTGCACGATTCTGAAATTGAAGAAATCGTAATAAAAACCTCCATAGAAAGAAAGAAAGAAGAATTTAATAAAAATGGTAAAACAACAAAATTGCTAAAACTTTCGATTAAAATAAAACATTTACAAACTAATTAGCGATGTTTGTCAGGACAAACTTTTAAGGACTTATTTATAGACCCAGAAAATTTTGTACAATTTTTATCACAAGTACATTTAAAAAATCTTTTATAGAATTGTTTGAACCTTGTCTTTTTGTCTAAGTCGAGTTTTATAAAATGTTTATATTTATTATATTGTATTTATGACATTGTTGTAGGGCTGCCCTCGACTAAGGATTTTTCTGGTCGACTAGTAGTCGTTAATTTGAAACATTAGTCGACTAATCGCACGTTTATTAATAAACCATTTAAATCATAATAATGAGCCTTTAATTGCCTACCACAGCCTAATAAGAGCTCAAGCACACGCATAAAGCTTGCCACAGCACCGGAAGAAGTACTGAAAAACAGACTGCATTAACATTTTAATAATTCACTGATAAACTAGTGTTTTCTTTGTTCTTGGTTTAAGAGATGAAGTCGGCGACACTGACTCGTCATCTCCGCAGTATGTTGAATGTTTAATTTGCATCTGCCATGAAATAGCCGATGAAGCTGATATGGCAGTAATTGTAAATACAATCAACCAATTTACAAACTAACTCAAACTATTAATAAAATTGTAATAGTAATAGCATCTCAGTGATGCTAAAATAATAAGACTGGTTTATATATTTCGATGCTTGATGAACTCGTTTGCTGTGTTTCCGCAGGGTCAGTCAGAGGTCAGATCAGCTGATCAGCAGCAGCACGAGGACGACTACATTTCCCAGAAGTCTTTGAGCCGCAGACTCTCCTGGTCAGCGCTAGGCAGGACTCAGCGACTGAAGGTCATGGAGTGTAAGGTCAGACTGCTGGATGGCACTGACTACACCTGCACCGTGGAGGTGAGTGATGATGATGATGATGACGAATGACAGTTTAATGCAGACAAACAGATCATCATACTGTCCGGAAACTTGTGATTTATTTATTTTTTCTCAGCTACAAATTTAGATTTAAATTGCATTTTTAAGCTTGTTTGTATTAGTGTTGTCACGGTACCAAAATTTCAGTATTCGGTACCAATACCAGTGAAAATCCACGGTTCTCAGTACCAAAGCAAAACACAACCGACTTGGTACCGAAATACCGGGTCTTTTGACAACACTAGTTTGTATGGTTGCACAATTTGACCAAAAAATATTGTTTGGTTTGTTTATCAATATGACTATAAGATAATAATTTTTATTATGATGATTATTATTAAATAAAAAATAAGAAGTAAAACAATAAATATATTAATATTGTAATACTATTGTACTTATAAATGAAGAAATATATTTAATAAAACTAATATTTTTTTCTTAATATCTTCATTTTCAAAACCTTTGTGATTCAATAGTCACACTAAACCATATTGGGTTTTTTAAATTTTATTTATTTATTTTTTTGAATAATCACTCGGTTATAATGTAGTTGGAATCAAATTTTGTGAAAAAATAAAATTAATAATTAAACCCTGTTTGTGTTTACATTAGTGAGCGACCGATATTGATATTTTATAACCGATACCAATTATTTGCATGTTTATGTGCCCGATAACCGATATGTAGAACCGATATTTATTTACTGTTATAAAGTCTATAAGTCTATACTTCACTTTGGTTTTTCCTCCTTTCAGCCATCTTAAAAAAAGTGTTGAAAATTAGCAGTCTTTCATGTAAAATTTAATCTTCATATTACAATAAAAAAACATTTTATTTAAAGCATCAACAGCAACACTAATATTAACAATAAGCAAAATAAATGTAGAAGGTCTAATGTTTTCAAATGGAGAAAATAAATAAAGGAAAGGAGTCATATCAACTTCATTTTAAACTACAGTTTTAGTAGGTTTATAAGCTGTTTAATAGTTTATTGGGACAGGACTTGATGGATTATCTTACGTGACTCCGTGAGTTCGTCTCTATTTCTTCGAGCCAAGCTGCATAAACTGCATATCAGGCATTTATGTAATACATCTAATTTGTGCATTAATGACGGTTATGTTATGTTAAATAAAGTTTACTAACTACAGTAAATCAAGTACCTGTCCACGCCGTTGTTGTTGTCTTGTCTCCCCTCAGACGCCGTGGTGCAATGGCGATCCTGCGCGCAATTCTCCAAACATCCACAAGATGGCGGCGTTTATCGGTGAATCCGATATTACTAAACCGCCACAAGATGGCGGCGTTTATCGGTGAATCCGATATTACAAAACCGATATCCGATTATTGTAAAATGCTTACATATCGGGAAAAATATCGGTAAATTGATATATCGGTCGATCTCTAGTTTACATCATCAGTCCAGAAATCTCATTGTAGTTGAGAGCTTTAATACCTGGAATTTTTCTGATTAAAATTATTATTGGGATTTTAAAATGCTTTAGGAAAGTGCTTTATGTTTGCTGTGTGTTGCTTGTTTACAATGTAATTATATTCCAATTTGACTATAAAATATTATTGGTATTGATTATTGGTATTATTAAACAAAAAATTGTAAATAAGAAATATTATAAAGTATAATATTATAATTCTAATACAATTGTACAGTAAAATTAAATTTAGTAATAATAATACAAAATTAAAAACAATAATTTTATTTTAAAGTGCAACTATAAAATGACGGTACTAATATTTATTGAAATTTAGAATTTTGGTAATTGCACCAAAGCAAATTCCGATTTTGATTTTATTTTGATTAATCATTCAGAACTAATGTAGTTGTACAAATGTCTTCAATGCATTGAAGCAGCATGCATCTGAAGGAGAGCACAGCTTTAATTGTACAGCGTGTAGTTTCTGAAGAGCGCACGCAATCGCTCACCAGCGCCTTTATTTTTAGTGCATTCTTATTTTGGTTGCATAAAGTACAGCATACCAGAGCTGATGTTCAATCACAGGGAGAAGAACGTGGAGAGATTGTTTCACACACGCAAATCAAAGCAGAAAGTCAGCTTTGTCTAGTTATTAACTTATCGAATCTGAGTAACTTTCAGACATTCGTTCAAACCTAGTTACTTGTCGTTCCTCTAAAGCGTTCATAAAATGTGAGCCTGCAGCACAAAAGCAGTCTTAAGTCGCTGGGGTATATTTGTAGCAATAGCCAACAATACATTGTATGGGTCAAAATTATACATTTCTCTTTTATGCCACAAATCATTAGGATATTAAGTAAAGATCATGTTTCTTGAAGATATTTTGTAAATTTCCTACTGTAAATATATCAAAACTTAATTTTGATTAGTAATATGCATTGCTAAGAACTTCATTTGAACAACTTTAAAGATGATTTTCCTCAATATTTAGATTTTTTTGCACCCTCAGATTCCAGATTTTCAAATAGTTGTATCTCAGCCAAATATTGTCCCCTCCTAACAAATCATACATCAATGGAAAGCTTATTTATTCAGCTTTCAGATGATGCATAAATCTCAATTTAGAAAAATTGACCCTTATGAATGGTTTTGTGCTCCAGGGTCACATATCATAATATTAGTTTGTAAACATGGCTTATCTGCGTGAGCGAGTCGAGGCTTGATTCTCAGAGGAAAGTATTTCTGAGGAACATAAATAGATGCATTTGTCTGTTAAATAAACAGAATCCAAGACCAATTTGCTTCTGACGGTCTAAACAAGTCATGAGTGTTCAGCGAGAACAGAATGTGGGAAAATCCCAGCAGATATTAATTATTAATCCACCATCATTGCTGTGGGTTTACTCGTAATTTACCAAATAAAACAGGAAGTGCATTAAAATTACAAATTAGAACTTGGGGCAAAACAGAGATTTATTGATTTAATAAAGACTTGAAATTCACAATATCTGAGTTCAGCGAAAAGATTCCTAATCTTTTTTTAATTTATTATTATTATTATTTTGTCAGCCAAACCCCTTTGATATTTTTATTTTTACTGTAATGCCTTTATTTAAATTATTTTATTTATATATTTATTTATGTTTAGATATATTTATATTTATTTCCCTGATTTATTTATATTTAGGTTCCCTGAGATTTGAAGTCAATATTTCAATAATTTAACAACATATTTGCATGTTCACACTTCTCTGATGGGGGTTAACGGTCACATGACATGCAGCTATAAAATATTTAATCTGTTTTTGGTTAGTGTTTTATTTGGATTTGTAATTTTAAAGTGATTTATATATTTTAATTTGACCTATTTGCCATTTATCATTATTAGATTTTCATCAACTCTCAAATCCAGTTCATCCAAAAATTTATTTATTCACCCTCATGTCGTTCCAAACCTGTTATTTTAGTATCATTTAAACGCTTTTATAGTTTTTATTAATATTTTGAATCTTTATATTTTCCAATATCATTTTAGTAATAGTAATTTTTATTTTTATTCATTTTTATTTCAGTTGTACTTGTTTTAGTTCATAATTCAATTTAAAATGGGAAATGTTGAAAAGTTTAAAATTAAAAAATGACTAAAATTATATTTTAAGGAATGTTGATAACCAAATAGTTACTGTTCCCATTGACTTCCATTATATGGACAAAAAATACAATGGAAACCAAAACTATTTGGTTGCCAACATTCTTCAGAATATATATTTTTTGTTGCACATCAAGTCATACAGGTTTGAGCGACATGAGGAGAGTAAATGATGACAGAGTGATAGGGATGTAACGATATCAAAATCTCACGATACAATAATATCGCGATATGACGCCCACAATACAATATTTATTGCGATATTTAAAAAAAAAAAAAAAAAAAGAAAGACAAATGAAGAATTAAAATTTTGTCAATTTTAAAGTTAAATTATTCTATCTAATGCACGTTGAGAGTTCAAAATTAAGAGCTCCATCCTATGTTTCTTAACTAAGAAAACTTGAGTCAGAAAAAAGTCAGTGAATTGACTTGTAGCTGAACTTTAAAGAGGACTCTTTATTTGTGGTCTACTGTCTCAGTATAAATTACATTCACACTGGTGTTTTAGAAGCCAAATAAATTAGAATATAATGATAATAACTAGATCCCGACCGATATGGGTTTTTTTGGGGCCGATACTGATATTAGGGAGTAAAAAAAGGCCGATACCGATATATCGGCCGATATTCTTTGTGTATATTATAGTACAGTACCAGTCAAAAGTTAGAAATTATTATTTCGAGACCTGTAAAGCATTTTTGCTCGTTTATGTGGGCCGTCCCAAGCTTGGTTGCAATGTGTTCATTGTCAAACTCCAAAATCAGATTATTTTGCGGATCTCCACCAAATTCGGGGGATCCCTTCAGCTCGAGGAACCCTCTCGAACGCCACCCTCCGCGCGTCGGTAGCCCCCCAGGATCGCTTGATCGGTCGGCGAATTTAACCCCCCGTACCTCCCGACCCCCGGGGGCTATCCACGCGGGGGTGGTCTCATTCGAAAGAGGGCCTCTAGACGTACACTCGATTCGCGTTCGAGAGGGTTCCTCGAGCTGAAGGGATCCCCCGAATTTGGTGCGGATTCGCCGCGCCGTTACAGAGATATGGCCGTTCAAAGTTCCAATGGGTTTCCTTTGACTTAAGCTTTAAAGCGTTTCATCAAGGTCGCCAGTAGCAAACAATGGAGCACGCTCTGCTGGACAAACTATGTAATTACACCATTTCAAGCATTTTATCTGCATTATATGTTCTGTAAAAAAAAATGTTCATATCGGCGGCATATCGGCGGCATATTCGCCGATACCGATATATCGGCGACAGGCTCATATCGGCCGATAATATCGGCAAAACGATATATCGGTCGGGCTCTAATAATAACAACAACAAAGACAGTAGTAGCCACATGTTGTAAAACAATTGCACTGTAAAATAAATGAAAATGAATATTTCATAGGTACATTATTTTTGCTTTACACTACAGTAAGGAAATTACAATACTTCTTTCCTAATTTCTACACTTGAAAGAGATATTTTGAATTTGGGCTGCATTTAAACTGCTAGCTGTCAGCAATTCATGCTGCACTTTAAGCTTTTATTTTGACGGAAACGTCAGTAGAGCTTTTATTTTGACAGAAACGGCAGCAGGGCTTTTATTTTGAAGGAAACGGCAGCAGGGCTTTTATTTTGAGCTTTTATTTTGACGGAAACGGCAGCAGGGCTTTTATTTTGACGGAAACGGCAGCAGGGCTTTTATTTTGAAGGAAACGGCAGCAGGGCTTTTATTTTGTAGGAAACGGCAGCAGAGCTTTTATTTTTTATCATCGGCCGTGAAAATAAAGCATAACTGATGACCGTTACGTTCCAAAACGTGCGCTAAACTCAGAACGTGAAATAAAGGAGTTGACTGCATTCATTCAGTGTGAACGAGTCGTTCTGAGACGCGGAAAACACCGGATCACGAGCTGATCGTCTGAACGAAGTGTGCGCTTCACTTTGTAACGCAAACAGACTTGATGAAGGGATTAAGCCACATTGTGCTTTCGGTTTTAGTTCGTTTGTCAGATAGTGTGCCAAAACATAATGGCCCAAAACACAACTTTAAAGACCTTTTATGTTAGAATAAGAAGTTTAAATATATTTTAAAAACTACTCTTTTTTGCCCAGCCAATCGTTTCATATCGTCTTGTGACCACGATAATATCGAGACCGTTTTGATATCGCGATATTGATAATATCGTTACATCCCTGATTTTTGGCTGAACTGTCCCTTTAATGACTCTCTGTGTGTTTGTTGTCGACAGAAAAGAGCGAAAGGTCAGGTTCTGTTCGATAAGGTTTGCGATCACCTGAATCTCCTGGAGAAGGACTATTTTGGCATTACGTACCGGGATGCTGAAAACCAGATGGTGTTGGTCAGTCTTCTTCCTCTGAACTGATTTAATTTCATGCATCTCAGCCTGTTTTTCAATTCCGAACCTCCTGCTTTTCCCACAGAACTGGCTGGACGTTTCCAAAGAGATGAAGAAGCAGATCATCGGTACGTCTTTCCCTAACCAAACTCATTCTTTGTCTCCATCCAAACGTCTTCAAGTTCTTACATGAGGTTCTTGTGTTTTTCAGCTGGTCCCTGGAACTTGGCCTTCAGCGTGAAGTTTTATCCTCCCGATCCATCGCAGCTCTCCGAGGACATCACCAGGTCTGCTTGGGTTATAGTCAGTGTTGGGAAGGTTACTTTGGAAATGTAATAGATTACAGATTACAAGCTGCCCTGACTAAAATGATAGTGTTTCCTATGCAATGATGTTAGCTAATCATAACACTTGCTGATTACTACAAGCCTTAAAGGACCTGCCCCTTAAAAACAGCCATAGCATTACATAGAAAACAACTACATAGCATTAAAAAAACAATGAAAAACACAACAAACTTACTATAAATGTAACCAAAATGACAAAAAGAAAATACAAAAAGAAAAATGAATTCAAATTATATAAAAAAGAAAAACTATTATAATATCTCAGTGATACTAAAATAACACTGGTGTTAGATACGTACACAAATAAAATAAACATCTTCATATAAACAAACTAAGGCTTTGTCTGTGCTCTTTCCATTTAAAATGAGAGGCAACCACTGCATTTTAATCACGATCCAAACAAAGATGCTGCATACATGCAACACGAGCAGTTTTTAATCTAAATTAGATTGTATAATTTCGAAATTTGAAGCAAAAGCAGAATGGTTTGACTTCAATTTTGTGAAACTATACATAAAAAATATCTGCATGAAACAGAAACAGAAGTGTTTCCTTGGTTACCGCTGTAAACAAAGCAGAGCTGCACTTATGAATAGCAATGATACAGTGTTTCCTTGGTTACCGCTGTAAACAGTTGACTGCATTCATTCAGTGTGAACGAGTCGTTCTGAGACGCAAACACCCGATCACGAGCTGATCGTCAGAACGAAGTGTGCGCTTCACTTTGAAACAGACTTGATGGAGAGATGAAGTATATTGTGCTTTCGGTTTGAGTTCGTTTCACAGATACTGTGCCAAAGCATAATGACCCAAAACACAACTATAAAGACCTTTTATGTTAAAATAAGAAGTTTAAATATATTTTAAAAACTACATTGTTTGCCTGAAAGACCTATCGTTTCATATCGTCATTTGACCACGATGATATTATATGATATGATAATGCCGTTACATCCCTAATATTTAGACCATTTAACTTAGTAATTGCTATCAGAATGTGAAGAGACTTTCAAAGTGTTGGGAAGGTTACTTTGGAAATGTAATAGATTACAGATTACAAGCTGCCCTGACTAAAATGATAGTGTTTCCTATGCAATGATGTTAGCTAATCATAACACTTGCTGATTACTACAAGCCTTAAAGGACCTGCCCCTTAAAAACAGCCATAGCATTACATAGAAAACAACTACATAGCATTAAAAAAACAATGAAAAACACAACAAACTTACTATAAATGTAACCAAAATGACAAAAAGAAAATACAAAAAGAAAAATGAATTCAAATTATATAAAAAAGAAAAACTATTATAATATCTCAGTGATACTAAAATAACACTGGTGTTAGATACGTACACAAATAAAATAAACATCTTCATATAAACAAACTAAGGCTTTGTCTGTGCTCTTTCCATTTAAAATGAGAGGCAACCACTGCATTTTAATCACGATCCAAACAAAGATGCTGCATACATGCAACACGAGCAGTTTTTAATCTAAATTAGATTGTATAATTTCGAAATTTGAAGCAAAAGCAGAATGGTTTGACTTCAATTTTGTGAAACTATACATAAAAAATATCTGCATGAAACAGAAACAGAAGTGTTTCCTTGGTTACCGCTGTAAACAAAGCAGAGCTGCACTTATGAATAGCAATGATACAGTGTTTCCTTGGTTACCGTTGTAAACAAAGCAGCGCTGCACTTATGAACAGCAATGATACAGTGTTTCCTTGGTTACCGTTGTAAACAAAGCAGCGCTGCACTTATGAACAGCAATGATACAGTGTTTCCTTGGTTACCGCTGTAAACAAAGCAGAGCTGCACTTAAGAACTTTAATATGCATTATACAGAGGCAAGATGAAAAGAAAAAATACCATCTAAACTTTTCTAAAGACAGTAAGTTCCCCTCAGACATACATTCATATAAACTCCTACCTCTAAATGAATCGCGATTTGTTTAGCATCTCACCGATTTGGATCGTCACATATTTGAATCGATTTTCAACCGGCTCACGGTTAATCGTTACATCCCTAGGTAAAAATCAATCTCTCTGTCTCAGGTATTACCTGTGTCTGCAGCTGAGGGACGATGTGGTTTCTGGGCGTTTGCCGTGTTCTTTCGCCACTCACGCGGTGTTGGGCTCCTACACGGTTCAGTCGGAGCTGGGAGACTGTGATGCTGAGCTGCAGGGGTCCAGTTATATCAGCGACATGCGTTTGGCCCCCAACCAGACCAAAGAGCTGGAGGAGAAAGTGCTGGAGCTCCACCGCGGATACAAGTGAGTTTCACACCATATGAGACACTCCTGTCGTAGCGTGTTATTTTTGTATCATTGAGATACTATTATAGTTTTTATTAATATTGTCTTTATTTTAATATTTTCATTTTAATTTTTGTTAAAGTTTTAATTATTTTGTTGTTGTTGTATTTTTATTCGTCTGTTTATTTTTTATTGTTTAATTATTTTAGTACATTAAAATTATAAATGTTGCCTTGGCATTTAGCAAGTAATTTTTTTTAAATAATTAATTTTATTTTAGTTAACATTTATTTTATTTCCAGTAACAAATGTGTTTAAGGTTTTAGTTAATTAACCGGGTTCATAATCACTATTGCGTTATTTTACCATCGTTTATAGATGGTATTTATTGACATTTTGAATTGGCTTTTATTTGTATTTTTTTTTTTTTAAGATATTTTTTATTCGAGTTATTTTTATTTGAGTTTTAGTAATTTTAGTACGTCAACTTAAACTTTATTTCGATTAGCTGCCAATGCAACATTTTCTAATTTTTTTGAGTTTTTAAGTTAAGTATTTTATTTTAGCACTGGGGGAGGTTTGTGGGAGTGTTAAAATATAGATCATTTAATCTTAAAATTACTATTGTTTTGCTAATAATATTAAATTTTAATTTCTTGTTTATTTCATGCTTATACACATTTGACAGTAAAGCACTAAGCTTTAATTGGGGTGCATACAAAATGTACTTTTAGTAACAACAGTAACAGGTGCTAAATCTCATTTTTATATAGAAAATGTATATATATATATATATATATATATATATATATATATACCTCTCTTATTAAATGTACCATTACTCTTCTATAGTATTATATGGAACTGACCAACTTCAGTGATTGTGCGATTTAGTCACAAATTGAAGAAAAGTTTGTGTTCTTCAAGGCACTTTGTGACTTTTCTTACTTCATACACAAAAAAAGTGTAAAGTTCTGACAAAATCTGATTTCTTGTTGATTTGATATTTTATAATAGTGATTTTATAATTTCTAAATATAGAGAAAAAGTAAAAATGAATGACTAATAAGTCAATAAGTGCTCCTCTGCTGCCGTCTACTGGTTATAATGGTGATTTTATATATATATTTTTTATTTTACATAAGCGTTTGTTTACCACAAAATATATTTTGGTTGTCCCATTAAAAATAACATTCAAACTGGATAATTTTAGAGCTTTAAAGTGCTGGAAATAGTTGTGTGAAATACTTGAAAGTCATTGAAAAGTGCTTGAATTTCTCTCTCAAAAGGTTGTACAAACCCTGAAATTAATGATGTAATGCATTCGACTATTTCTACCACAACACCATGGTTACAGTTAGCATTAATACTTCTGGTTTTCTGACGTACGTCAGCGCTGTTTATAACAGAGAAATCTCACTAGATCTCGCCGAAACCTTATTCATTGTGCTGCGAATTAAAACGCTTCTCGCTGGATCTCGCAGCACTGTGCGCAAAATTGTCACGAAATCAACTTTGGCTCCTGAGTAAAGCTGTTCTGAGCTCGGACAAGTTTGTTTGCGTCGTTAACAAGGATGAGAATGAATGAATTCCTTCATATTCATATAAAGTGTTCAACAGTCCACCTGCAAACACGGGGCATGTGTTGGTGCGTGTTCACCGGTTCATTTAGCAGTAATCTCTCTGTGTGTGTGTGTGTTTACAGAGGAATGACTCCTGCTGAA